TCATCTTATTGAAAAGCTTCTGCACTGCAAGAGAAACCACCAACAGAGCTAAGAGACAACCTACAGTGTGGGAAAAATTTTTTACCAGCTGTTCCTCAGACAAAGGTCTACTATCTAGAATCTATAAAGAACTTTAAAACATCTGTCCTCCCAAATTTAAAGAACCAATCTGAAAATGGGCGTCTGAAATGAACAGATATTTCTCAGACAAAAAAGTAGAAACAGCAAATAAACATATGAAAAACTGTTCAACATCACTTGTCATTTGAAAGATGCAGATGAAAACAATCTTGAGATTCAACCTCATCCCAGAGAGAATGGCTGCTATGAAGAAATCAACCAATAACAAATGCTGGTGGGGTTGTGGGCAGAAAGGAACCCTTCATTTTTGGTGGAAGTGCAGACTGGTGCAACCACTGTGGAAATCAATATGGAGATACCTCAAACAACTAGGATTAGAAGTCCCATTTCATTCAGCTACTCCTCTGCTGGGTATCTTCCCAAAAGAGTTAAAAGAATAATACCACTGTGATATATACACACCCATATTTATACTGGCACAGTTTGTTAACTAAAACTTGGAAACTGCCCAATTGCCCATCAACTGGAGACTGGATAAAGAAAATGTGGGGTATGTTTTTCCTAAAATGGAGTACTACTCAGCCATAAAGAATGAGAAACTAGAGACATTTATCACTAAATGGATGCACATTGAGGCCATAATCTTAAGTGAAATAAATAGGACACACGTGTGTAAATACCAAATAGTTTCCCTGGTGTGAGAAACTAAAAGTGTAAATAAGGACTAAAGTGTATAATACATAATGTGAAATATGAAGAAAAGTGGCAAAGGGGAAGCGGAATTGGGGTAGGGGAAAGGAAAGTAGGGAAAGAAATAAATATGAGAAAATGAAAAAAATGGAAACAAAGTCTTTGTAAATAGAGAGAGGTAGAGGGGCTGAAGGGAAGGCAGGGGCTTGGGGAAATATACAAACCAGATATGTTACATAAAAGTACAAATTCCCAATAATGAATGTCAGCATATTGTATATATAAAATGTACCAATAAAATTAATGAATTTAAAAAAATGGAACAGATGCTGTCTAAGGCCCTTAGCTGCTTTCATGCACATGCAGTTGTACAACTACTTAGTTTAGGCATATCTCTTAATCTCCAATTTTGTGATCACTAGTTAGCAATGAAACTGTGTTGTCACCTAGTCTCCACTCAAAATTAGAAACAAAATAATTTCTTCATGGGTTTTTTTTTGTAAAAAGTATAACCATTAAAAAAAGTAAATCTGTCCTGTCTTATGGGGCGCAATGTATTCTTCTACAATCTTTTATAGAATTAAACAAAATGTTAGAGGCCATGGAATTAATGCAAAGATGGGCTTAGGCTGATACTCAGGCTCATCTGAGGACTCCCTGTTCAGTGACATTCACATTTGAAAGGGACACAGCCAGAGAAAACACACTGCAACAAACCACACAGTAGCAAGCACTTAGGAAGATCAAAGGATTTTGCTAATTCAACGTCCCTTGCCAACAATCCAGAACAAATTTATATTCCTGGTCTTTTCTTGTTCTCTGGAACTAATATACTGTAGTTTACTGATTGAGAAAAATTTACTCAGCTAATAGTGCCAGTGGCAAAATTTTACTATAACAAAGGCCACAAATATTTTTTACTAATCATACAGTAGTCTGGTTTGTGAAGACTGCTTCTCTAAGAGACACTAAACTATTATTAACCAACTGTGGTTTAATACATTTTTAAAGGAGGTGTTTCTAGTATCTAAGTTGAAGCTCTTTTTCTGATAGCAAATTTAGAACATGACGAGATTACTGAAAATTCTAGTTAAGTAGTACATTTAGTGGAAAAGATGATATGTTAATGATTCTTTAGACAGAATGTCACATTGAGGTGGCAGTGCTCTGTTGTTTAAAGTACCTTCACATAGCCTCATTCAACACTGACAGGCTTACAAAAGGAGCACTTTGGCTTGCTCAAATGATTTTACATAATGTTTTACACAATAAACCCGCATACATAACCCTAGCTTTCCTAATACTCCAAGTCTCAACATGTTGGCAGGAAGATTACAACAGGTAGGAATATCAGAAAAGTAATTGACAGACAGGCACCTTTGATCTTGTGTCTACAACATACATAAACTGGCTCCCAGAATTTGTTTGGCTAATGGCATCTAACAAGAGCTCGTCATTTATGCAGCAAGTAGAAAATCCAAACAGAGTCTGGCTACAGTGGCAAATGGCAGCCTATAAGAAAGTCAGTTGTGTTATCATATCCACAGCTGGTCAAACATATTCCTTGTCTCCAGGTTTGCTGAGTAGAGGGAAAGAACATGTAGACCCAGGAGTGTCCAAAGCAAAGAGAGATGAAGCTCTTGAAGACCACTCATTCCGTTGAGTTTAGCCTCAGCACTTGGTTGATCCTCAAACTAATCCTGCCAAATCAGACCTCAAAAAAAAAAAAAAAAAAAAACACATTTTGAGCATTCCCTTAGTAAATTCAATTCTTGATACATAATGGGTTGGTAATTTTTCTGAAATTGCCCCATTTTTATAGTCTCAGTAACAGCAAACATATAAACCAGAGGCTTGCAGTAATAACAGAATTCAAGATACAACAAGGACCTAGAGATCTAGAGAAGAAGGTTCACGTGTTTCAGGGCTGGTATGTTTCAAGCCATTTCAACATAAAAAGCTATAGCAATTTGAGAGGCATCTCTGGTAATGATCAATTAATGGACTTCATTACATTTTGCTGTGATTTGTATGGAATCTGTTCACTTTGGTAGTTCAACACAAAGACACCCAATTCCATTAATACACTATGCAGCACTTAAATATTTGTTCATTTGAGGATTTTACTGTGTCTAACCCCTGATCACAAAATGTCCACAAGAAGTGAGAACTATTACTTCCTCCTTAAGGGTACTGAAACACAGAAGAGTTGAGTGCTTTCACCTACTACCTTAAATTATATGAAAAGTGGTAAGAAAGTATAAAGGATATTTGTTTTCCCATGGTAAGCCACAGTCCCTAACTATACTCTCATACAACTAACTCCCTGTCATTCTGCAACTTCCCACCAAGTTGGAAACTCACAGAAAAGAAGTAAATGAGCTGGGAATTTAGTTTAATGGCACCACACCAGCCTTGAAAAATGCAAGGTCCTGAATTCTATCCTGGGTACTTAAAGGAAAAAAAAAGGAAACAAATTAATACACTGAAATGCCACTTAACATCTGACGTACATTTTACAATATACAAAGTACATATATGATTTTACCTCATGTGTCACCCTCAAAAACATTCAGAAGTACTGAAGATCAGATAAGTTAAACTTGCTTGAGGTCTGATACCTTCTAAGTAGCAGAGTAAGACCAAATCCCAGGTCTTATAGTGCCAACTTTAGAGAAGTTTGCTTAACTCACATTATTCTCTTTATAAAGGTAGGAGAGCACAGGGATACATTCTTTACTTCTGTACTCTGAACTTCTAATCACTGTTCCGAATGTAACAGATTTAAGAATTACTATTTCAGGAGGGTAGGTCCTGAATACCTAGAAGAAAATTTTATATATATATATATATATGTAATATATATAATATATATAATCTTTTAGGTATATAAATATGTATTTTATATATTTTTTTCACTTGCTAGCAACACACTAGAATTAGTAATCACTCAAGCATTAGCTACCTGGTATTTATCATTCAGAATCATCAATTCTTCAGAAATGGGAACAAAAATATTAAATATTTTTGGTATAATTTTCCCAGTATGTTATTATTTTCCAGAAAGGAAGGTATTGAAACATACAAGGACAAAATGTACCTTTAGAATAACTGAAATTATGGGCAGAAACATACATACTAACTTACCCTGAAATTCCTACTTTTGCTTATAAGAGCAAATATTATAAATAGTAAACAAGTAAATAAAAATGAATAAGCTACACTTTTATTTATCTCTATCTTATCAAACTAGACTATACTATTAGCTCCTTCTCACTTTGCTGTCCTATAAAGGCAAAGGACTTTCTATCATACATCTATGTTGTGTATGTACACACACACACACACACTTTTGATTCAGATTCTGGTTAAAATAACCACAGAGCATAATCAAAGTTATAGTGTTTATTCTTTTGTTTTTGTTTCACTCTGATAGCTTAGCTTTACTGAACTTTAAGAATTATTATTTTATTGTATGGAATATTAATAAATTCTTGCTGACTGAAAAATAAAATGAATAGACTAAAGTGTGAACCAGATAAGTGTAGGAGGAAATATAATTTCTTTCATAAACTGCATATGAAGTTCCTACTATGTATTTCAGAAGAGCCTTTAAAATACTAGTGTGGGAGTGGAAGTGTTGACATTTTAAGTGTGACTAATTCTAGAAAAAGACTGACATTTTCTCAAATTTATCAAACTTTAGTAGTTAACAATATATATCTTTACAAAGAGTCAGTGACAAAAAATTTTAACCATATAGACTTGAACTGCAAAATTAACACTAATCACTCACTTAAAAACATATCCCAACATTTGATAACAGGTAAAAAAAACACATTAAATAGGTGAAAAATAATTTCAAGGTAGAGCAGATCAAGAAATCTATGCATTGGGGCCGGGGATTTAGCTCAGTGGTTTCGCCACATGCTATGCAAGCGCAAGGACCCGAGTTCAATCCCCGGTACAAAAAAAAAAAAAAAGAAATCTATGCATAACTCATTGCTGTATTAAAGTCAATGCCTCAGAATACAGATAATCTGAAAAAGAAGTTCTCTTCTCATCCTTTTACCCTCGAGTTAAACTTTGGAAAAGCTAGAAAGAGAAATAAATGGAGATGCTCTTTAAGCTCAGAGAGTCACATGAATACTTCAAACTTCAAATATCAAAAGGGCCAACATGAATAATCCAAACTCATTTAGAAGATTGAAACACATTATTTGAAATCCATAGAATCACCTCACCTCTCATATTCCCATCAAACATGACCCTAACAAGCCACCTGAACAGATGGATCCTGTTAAAGGGCAGTTCATTTTTCCTCATACCTAGTGAATACTCAAAGCTGTGTTACCAGAAAGGCATTGCAGTTACCAGCTTATTTTGATAATAAAAAGCTTGAAATAATTTTAAAATCCAACAATTCAGGGACATCACATAATACCAATGACTGAAGTTTTCATAGGAAGCCTAACTGCTATCCTTAGAAAGACCTACTTACAAAATTGGCACTTGGCTTGTATCTAGGAACCTGTATTTCAGAAGGGTGTCTATCATCACCTATTAAGAATGGGTCATTGCGACTACACTGTACAATGTGATTTATACTAAGTAACTTATTTACTTTTGAGCAACTGGAATTTTTGTATAGGTTAGGCAGAGGGTGCTTTCACAAGGCACCCCCAATAAAAAACCTAGGAACTCCAATCTCTAATGAAATTTCCTGGAAGACAAAATCCTACCTGTGTTGCCTTAATTTGTTGCTGGAGGAATCAAGGGTTTTCTGTGTGACTCCCCTGTGAGAGAATAGTGAAAACCTAAAATACCTGGAGTTTTCCAGACTTCAACTAATGTTCTTTTTTCCTTTGCTGATTTTGCTTTGTTTTCTTTCAGTGTAACAAAGTGTAATCATAAATTCAAGTATATGTCCAGCTCTGTGAGTCCTAATGAAATAAATAACCAGAGAGATGGTCTTGGAGATGCTCAACATAATTCTAAACCTCTATATTGGGCCCAGAGCCTTCTAGAGATCCAAACCCAAATACTTGACACCAAATACTTGATAAATTTTTGATCACTTTGAACTCAAGTCTTAAACTGAAATCAGTGCCTGTCCTTTTACTTGTGGTCCCCCTCTTGGTTAACATAACCACTGCCCACTTGGTTACTACAGCCAGAAATCAGGTAACTGGGATGCATTACTATAATTCTTTTCCCAGCAACATTTAATCCGTCACTAGATTCTTTCAGTTCATTGCTCCATATCAGGTTACCATCACTTTACATATCACTCTCCTGCATTATTAGCTCTGGCAAACTAATTCTCCACATTAATAATTAAGTTATCTTTCTAAAATACAAATATTTGTATGTTCGTTTAGAGCTTAAATTATTCTCATGGCTCCAACTATCTTCAGGATGATGAATACATTTCTTAATTTAGCCATCAATCCCTTAATTATCTGGCCTTACTTTTTGACCTCCTTCCTTCTCCCCATGCATAAATTAAGATAAAGTTCTTTCACAAGGCAAGACCACAGGCTATTTCTGGCTTCCTGGGCTGATTTTATTTTAATTTCCCTTTTCTGTGCTCCTGCAGCACCCTGTGCTTTAGACCATGAGAGCTCTGACTCAGTTCCTTGAGCATAGTAGATACCCAATAAATCCTTGCTGAATGGCTAAAGGTTAAATGAAAAGGAAATATTATGAAGAATTTCCTGTTTTTTCAAAATCTTGTTTGCTGATATCCTACCATTTTAATTAAATACACCTAAAAGGTAACAACAATTACAAAATTACCTCAGTTTCTGTTGATAACTGTTATACTCCAGTACCTATATTAGGTATTCCCATTTGCTCAAAGTCTGATATTAGGTCAATCAGTTTCCATCCACTTTCCCTTGTCTCTTTTGAGGATTTGGGATTATAAGAAAAAACATAAAGACCTTCAGGTAATGCTAGATAGGTGAAGCATGGAAACAAAGTAACAATAAGTAAAACTTAAAGATTACCAAACAATGTGAACAAAAATGTCCTTTTCCCAAAAGGAGTATCTGTCAAACTGCTCCAGAAATGGACAGTGTTTTGCATACATGTTTGCTTTTATGTAACAAGTAAGAACTGGAATATTGCTTTGGGCTCTTCTTTAAAAATACTTTAATTTTTTGACACCAATGAAATGTGAGAACTTTCTGCCTGACATTCTATAAGAAAGAATGGTGAGTAATAGAATGAACTAAGACTAGAATTTTTTAGGAAAGCAGGTTTTACTAAATTTTTTAAACTTCCATGTCCTAATTGCACTGCTTATTGTAACATGTTGCACAACATTAATAGATTAATAGTAAAATTACATTCTACTTGTCAGGCCAACACCAGCTTCTGTCTGTTAAGTGGCCATTTCTTTTCTCCTCACTGTCAGTTCTGCTTTCAACTTCCACAAGATGTGACATTCAACCAATATCTATTTGACCAATTTATGTGGCAACAACTTTTCTAGAAATGAAAGGAGCCTTTCAGGGATTTATAAAGTGCTGAGTTTGCTGTCAGGTTACTCTGCTGATAAAATACTGATAAATACTAAGGAATTATTCTGGAGGAAGAGGAGAAAGTGGAAGGGAAAACTTTAAGAGCGTGGAAATCCCACAGACTAAAAGTTAAAGGAAGCTAATTGTTTAGTTGCCAAGGTGTGAGGACTGGGGAATGAGAGTGTGGTTAAAAGAATTAGAGATAACTGCATTATTGAAGACTGATAAATAGTCTTAGTCATAGAAGTTCTAGTCTTCCACTTGGAACTAAAATTAGGAGTGCTGGGCCAAACATATAGGACAATGAGAAACAAAACAAGGTAATATGTACTATGCATTAATGTACTTAATCCTCAAAACAATATCTTTGGGGAGCTTTTACTTTCCTTGTTTTTAAATGTGAGTAAGCCCAAATATCACAGATCTGGTAAGTGGCAGAGCCTGGATTCAAACTCTAACTCATCATCTTCACATTATTGTTATTCTGAAAAATATTAAAAATAGTTCTAAGCAAAGAAACTATCATAATTACGTGGCTGAAATAGCTTGAGAAGTGAAATGTAAACTTCATGGCACACAAGATCAGAGTTTGAAACAAAGTGGGCCAACCAGAAATTCTTACAGTGGAAAATCAGGGGACAGACCATGCTAGTAATAGCCAACTTCCCCACAGTGGCAATGTGATGGAGTGCAATATATAAAACAGAAAAGAAGTAGAATAAACATACAGATGTACACTAGCTCTATCATTATCAGTATATATATCTGACTCTCAGTAATGGTAACAGTGGGGCCAGAGATGTAATTACATCTACAACCTACAATGAATGGTCTTTTTTAAGCATAATAATAGTAAAACAATGAGAATCAAATTGCAGTGTTAAAAGCCTTATTTCTCTTTAAACGTACAGTACTAACAAATTTGTGGATCACTTGAGAAGAGATAATAACATCTAGCATGCTATGATGGAATTTAAAAACCACAGAGGATAACAGAACTTTCTTTTGTTCTACAAAATTACTAATTAAGAGGAAGCTCCCCTGCTGCCATTCCAGGCTCCTAGGGCAGAGAAGGTGAGCTGGTCCCAGCACCCAGAAGGAAGCTCCCCCGCCGCCATCCCAGGCTCCTAGGGCAGAGAAGCTGAGCCAGTCCCAGCACCCAGAAAGAAGCTCCCCCACTGCCATCCCAAGCTCCTAGGGCAGAGAAGCTGAGTCAGTTCCAGCACCCAGAAGGAAGCTCCCCTGCCACCACCCCAATCTCTTATGGCAGAGGAGGTGAGCCGGTCCCACCACCTAGAAAGAAGCTCCCCCGCTGCCATCACAAGCTCCTAGGGCAGAGAAGCTGAGCTGGTTCCAGCACCCAGAAGGAAGCTCCCCTGCCACCATTCCAGGCTCCTAGAGCAGAGGAGGTGAGCCGCGTGGATGCCAGAAGCATCCCCCCAATGGGAAAATGAGAAGACACGTAAACAAGCCTCAGAAGAAGACTTCCGGATCAACTACAGCAACCCCAAAGGGAAATGAGATGGAACAATCTGATACTCAACCACCTAGACTCTCTGAACTGGCAACAAAAGAGGATCTGGGAAAAATG